GAGATACAAGAACTAGTGAATCAGAGAATACAAAGCTTGCCTTTACACAACCGACACATTCCTTTTATATCTTAGAATGATCTAACAGCAAAGCCTCTAATTCATCTAGTATCTCTCTACACACGTGAACAACATATTTCACACGTGTGACTTAAGACTTGATTCCCGGTTCTCGGAATGAGATTAAACCGGACCTGCAATATATGTTTGATTCAACAATAACAAGTATTGTGAAGCATGTTGTCTTCCAATGACTGTTTCAGATAGTTTTTATAGCTGTATGCAATGTGAGTTTGCTCTACACGAAGCGTGTGCTTCTCTTCCTCGCAAAAAATACCATCCGCTACACAAACACCCACTTTTCCTTCACCCATTTCCTTTTGAGTCCATCAAGGAGTCGATCAATTTTACATATGGAGGCATATTCAGTTGCACTGGTTGTGACAGAATTAGTAGTGGCTTTCAGTACAAATGCCGTGAAGAAGGTTGTGAATTTGAGCTTGACATCAGGTGTGCTTCCCTTTCTGACCCCTTAATCCATGGCATCCATCCACATCGTCTCTTCTTCAATTTTAGCCGAGGTAAATGCATAAGGAATGACCATTATTGTTCAAACGTTTTTCCTAGAATGTGTCGAGTGCAAGTTTTTTTTATGTCTTGCATGTGCTACATATCCTTTTATGGCACATTACAAATACGATAGACACCCACTTGTTCTTTGTTGCGGCGAAAAAGAGAAAACAAATCTCCAATACTGGTGTGAGAGATGTGAATCGAAGTTAGATAAAGAGGAATGATTCTATACATGTGACTCTTGTTGTGTCACTCTCCATAAGTTATGTGCGACGACAAATTTCTTCGAGAGCCATATTGAGAAGATAGCATATGGAGGCGTTAAAATAGCTAGTTAGGAACAATAATGGTAACTCTCGACCAGTTTGTCATAATTGTGGTCTTCATTGCACATATTCCTATATTGTGAAGAGGCCACATAGACATTACTGCAGTTTAGGTTGTGCGTTTGCAACCGAAAAGAGAAAAGTAGTGCGTTTGTACTTCTGACTAGGGATCAAGCTGAAGAGCGTCTGTAAACC